GATTCCCTTAGTAACGACGAGCGAACCGGGAGGTGCCCAACTTGAGAATCGAGCGCCCGTGGCGTTTGAATTGTAGTCCGGAGAAGCGTCCTCGCCGACGGACTGTGCCCAAGTCCCCCGGAAGGGGGCGCCGAGAGGGTGAGAGCCCCGTCGTGGCCGGACCCCGTTGCACCACGAGGCGCCGTCTCGCGAGTCGCGTTGTTTGGGAATGCAGCCCCAATCAGGCGGTAAATTCCGTCCAAGGCTAAATACGGCGAGAGACCGATAGCAAACAAGTACCGCGAGGGAAAGATGAAAAGGACTTTGAAAAGAGAGTCAAAGAGTGCTTGAAATTGTCGGGAGGGAAGTGGATGGGGGCCGGCGATGCGCCCCGGTCGGATGTGGAACGGTGCCAGCCCGGTCCGCCGATCGGCTCGGGGCGTGGACCGATGCGGATTGTGGTGGCGGCCCAAGCTCGAGCTTTTGAAACGCTTGCGGAGACGCCGTCATCGCAATTGTGGACCGCAGCACGCGCCGTCCCGGCGTGCCTCGGCACCAGCGTGCTCCGGCATCGGCCCGTGGGCTCCCCATTTGTCCCGTCTTGAAACACCGACCAAGGAGTCCGACATGTGTGCGAGTCAACGGCGAGTAAACCCGTAAGGCGCAAGGAAGCCGATTGGCGGGATCCCATTGAGGGTTGCACCGCCGACCGACCTTGATCTTCCGAGAAGGGTTCGAGTGAGAGCATGACTCGTCGGGACCCGAAAGATGGTGAACTATGCCTCGAGCGGGGCGAAGCCGCAGGAAACTCGGTGGAGGCCCGCAGCCGATACCGACGTGCAAATCGTTCGTCCGACTCTGGGTATAGGGGCGAAAGACTAATCGAACCGTCTAGTAGCCGGTTCCCTCCGAAGTTTCCCTCGGATAGCCGGAGCTCGCCGCGAGTTCTATCGGTAAAGCCAATGATTAGAGGCATCGGGGGCGCAACGCCCTCGACCTATTCTCAAACTTTAAATAGGTAGGACGCGTGCGGCCGCTTCGTTGAGCCGTGCCATGGAATCGAGAGCTCCAAGTGGGCCATTTTTGGTAAGCGTAACCGGCGATGCGGGATGAACCGGAAGCCGGGTTACGGTGCCCAACCGTGCGCTAACCTAGAACCCACAAAGGGTGTTGGTCGATTAAGACAAGCAGGATGGTGGTCATGGAAGTCGAAATCCGCTAAGGAGTGTGTAACAACTCACCCGCCGAATCAACTAGCCCCGAAAATGGATGGCGCTAAAGCGTGCGACCTATACCCAGCCGTCGGGGCAAGCGCCACGCCCCGATGAGTAGGAGGGCGCGACGGTCGCTACAAAACCCGGGCGCGAGCCCGGGAGGAGCGACCGTCGGTGCAGCATCTCGGTGGTAGTAGCAAATATTCAAATGAGAACTTTGAAGGCCGAAGAGAGGAAAGGTTCCATGTGAACGGCACTTGCACATGGGTTAGTCGATCCTAGGAGACGGGGAAACCCGTCCGACAGATGCGTTTGCGTGCGAGCTTCGAAAGGGAATCGGTTAAAATTCCCGAACCGGACGTGGCGGCCGACGACAACGTTAGGGAGTTCGGAGATGCTCGGCGGGGCCTCGAGAAGAGTTCTCTTTTTGTTTAACAGCCCCGCCCACCCCGGAAACAACTTAGCTCTGGAGGTAGGGTCCAGCAGCTCGGAAGAGTAGTGCACGTCGCGTGGTGTCCGGCAGCTCCCGCGGCCCTTGAAAATTCGTAGGACCGAGTGCCTCCCACGCCCGATCGTACTCATAACCACATCGAGTCTCCAAGGTGAACAGCCTCCGGCCGATGGAACAATGTAGGCAAGGGAAGTCGGCAAAATGGATCCATAACCTCGGGAAAAGGATTGGCTCCGAGGGTCGGGCTCGGGGTCCTGGCCCCGAACCCGTCGACCGTCGACGGACCGCTCAGGCCGCTCCCGCGCGAGAGCGGGCCATCACGTGCCGGCCGGGGGATGGATCGGGAACGGCCCTTCGGGGCCTTTCTCGGCGTCTAACAGCCGACTCGAATTGATACTGGACAAGTGGGAATCCGACCGTTTAATTAAAACAAAGCATTGCGATGGTCCTCGCAGATGCTCACGCAATGTGATTTCGCCAGTGCTCGAATGTCAAAGTGAAGAAATTCAACCAAGCGCGTGTAAACGGCGGGAGTAACTATGACTCTCTTAAGGTAGCCAAATGCCTCGTCATCTAATTAGTGACGCGCATGAATGGATTAACGAGATTCCCACCGTCCCCGTTCTACTATCCAAGCGAAACCACAGCCTAAGGGAACGGGCTTGGCGGAATCACGGGGAAAGAAGACCCCGTTGAGCTTGACTCTAGTCCGACTTTGTGAAATGACTCGAGAGGTGTAGGATAAGTGGGAGCTTCGGCGAAGGTGAAATACCACTACTTTCAACGTTATTTTACTTATTCCGTGAATCGGAGGCGGGCGCAGCCCCTCTTTTGGACCCAAGGCCGCTTCGGCCGGCCGATCCGGTGGAAGACATTGTCAAGTGGGGAGTTTGGCCGGGGCGGCACATCCGTTAAAAGATAACGCAGGTGTCCTAAGATGAGCTCAACGAGAACGTAAATCTCGTGTGGAACAAAAGGGTAAAAGCTCGTTTGATTCTGATTTCCAGCACGAATACGAACCATGAAAGCGTGGCCTATCGATCCTTGTGAGCTTCGAAATTTGAAGCTAGTAGGTGTCGAAAAGTTACCACAGTGGATAATCGGCTTCGTGGCGCCCAAGCATTCATAGCGACGTTGCTTTTTGATCCTTCGATGCTCGCTCTTCCTATCATTGTGAAGCGTAATTCACCAAGTGTCGGATTGTTCACCCACCAATAGGGAACGTGAGCCGGGTTTAGATCGTCGTGAGACAAAAGTTAGTTTTACCCTACTAATGACAATGTCGTAATAGTAATCCAACCTAGTACGAGAGGAATCGCTGATTCGCACAATTGGTCATCGCGCTTGGTTGAAAAGCCGCGGGCGCGAAGCTACCGTGCGCTGGATTATGACCGAACGCCTCTAAGTCGAATCCGGCTAGACGCGATGCGTGTGCCTCGCCGTTCGATTGTCGACCTAGCGCAGGGGCCTAGTGGCCCCGGAGGCACGTGCCGTTGGCTAAAGCCCTCGCGGCGAACGAGCCGCGTGGGCCGCCTTGAAGTACAATTCCCATCGAGCGACGGTAGAATCCTTTGCGTACGACTTAAATATGCGACGGGGTATTGTAAGTGGCAGAGTGGCCTTGCCGCCACGATCCACCGAGATTCAGCCCTACGTCGCTCCGATTCGTCCCCCCACCTCCCTTCGAGGGGCGTAGAGGCCGGGACATGTCCGGCGGGGCTCTGGGAAAACGCACAAGGAACGAGCAATAGGACTGAAAATCAATGAGAATGCTTTTTGAAGAAACCCTCCACTTCAATTGGTATTTTTCAGGAAACGGACCCACGATGCTTTCCCCGTGTTCAAGTTCCATGGGCGTTTCGGATACCGAGTCTCCGGAGAGACGCGTCCCGCGCTCGCGAACTCCGTGATTCGTTTCACCCCGGACCGGAGTGATTCTCGCGACCGAAGTACCCGGGGCAAGTCCCAAGAGTAAGGGAAGGACACCGAACTTCTCGAGTCCTGGGGCATTTCCATGGCCTAAGGGATACTACCCGTTCGAGACCCTCGGAAATAAATGTTTGTAGCGCCGAAAGATGAGGGGCGAGCCTCGTGAGGCATCGAGCCACGGCCAACCGCCCGTGAGCAAGCCGGCCCACCGGCCGTGCGAGCTGAGTGGCGTGCCATGGCGCCCCGGCAGCAGGTGCACAGCGCACGAGAGTTGGCAGCCCTATGCACCACGGGAGGTCGGGCAGCAGGGCTTGCCGCAGGATGCAAGAGACTCGACATTCCGCAGTCCGACAAGAAAATTCAGTCTCTCTCGGACAAAAAGCATTCTGATGATTCCATAACACAATTTTATTGTCGTCCCCAAAAAAGGGGCAACGTTCCGGGTTATTTTCTATTTTCCCCGATTTTCTGCGTTTTAGTCGACCCAAAAATAAAAAAAAATGAAAAAGCATTCCCCAAGACCTCGCAAAATTTTGGAAATTTTTGAGAAAGTGGATTGTATTTTTCCAAACGTGTGATCGAAATTTCAGCTCAAAATACGAAGAATTGAAATTCTTAGAGTGGGGAAGACTCGTCGGGAGATTGTTGCATCTACCTCTCGCTAGAGCTGAAAAGTTACATATCGCTCTATAGGAAAGGCCCCTGGCCCCTTTCAAATACCCGACGTGCGTGCCGCCGCATGCCCCATTCGCGAAACGAGTTTAGGCACCGGAGCCGGCAGCGGGAGATGCCGAGCGCGCGCCGGCATGCACGCGCCGCCGGCTCCACACGCCCGCCGCAGCCCCCGCGCATGCCGGGCGACCTCGCTCGCAGCCTCCCGCGTAAGCTGGGCGCGTGGCCGCTCGCAGGCCCCGCGCGCGCCGGGCGGCCCCCCGCGACACCGGGCGCACGGCCGTGCGCACGTTGAATGGGTCGCGCGCTAAACGAGGTGACGCGCACCGCCGCCGTGGAGCTAGGACCGGCCGCAGTGGCCCGAGTTACACAAAATTGCGCATTTCGGAATGAAATACCGGACACTTCACACAAAAACCGTCCCAATAAATCAAAAACACTATTATTGGGCTCGCCAAAATTTTAGCATCGTTCCGACTTATTTTCTATTTTTTTCGATTTTCTACAATTTTAAAGATCAAAAAATAGAAAAGTGTAATTTCCTAAGTTGGAAAATTCCGAAAAGTTTCTAAAATAGATTGGATTTTTCCCGTCAGGTGTACAAAATATCACCTCAAAATAAAAAATATTGAATTTTTTAGAGGGGGTGACACTGGACCTAGTAGTGTCTACCCCTATCGTAGCATAAATTTCACATATTTCTCTATAGGGAAGCCAACAATCCCTTCAAAAAACACACGCGCGCCCGCCCGCACCCGCGCCCGTGCCCGGGGCCTCGGGGCCTTAGTGGCTTGGGGCTCGGGGGCTGTGGGCTTGGGGCTCGGGGCCTCGGGGCCTTAGTGGCCGCGGGCCGAGGGCCGGCGGCCGCGGATCGCGGTATATCATGCCGCAGGGGGGCGTGTGCTCTTGTCGCCCCTGTGCGCAGTGCAAGGCGCGCCCCGCCGCAGCCCCCCGCCGCCTCGCTCAAAACCCCTCGTGGGCCGGCTCGAAGGCCCCACGCGTGCCATATCGCGCCCCTCGCGGACGATGGGCGTGGAAGCTCGCATGCCCACCGCGGGCCGGCTCGTAGACCCCCTACGAGCCGGCTCGCCGAACCCCCGGCGGCCCGCTCGCGCACCTTCGCGTGCCGGCACGCGTGCCCCCCGGCGGCCGGCTCGCATGCCACTCGCGCGCCCGCCGCGGACCCCACGCGGCGTGCACGCGATCCCCCGCGGGCCGGCTCGCAACACCCCCGCGCGCCCGCTCGCCGAACCCCTCGCGGCCGGCACGCGAGCCCCCGCGCGCCCGCACGTCGAACCCCCGTGGGCCGGCTCGCATCCCACCCGGCGGCCGGCACGCGCACCTCCTACGCGCCTCGCTCGCCGACCACCCGGCGGCCGGCTCGCATCCCCCGGCGGGCCGGCACGTATACCCGTGCGTGCCCGCTCGCCGACACCCTCGGCCGGCTCGCATGCCACTTGCGTGCCGCCCGCGGACCCCATGCAGTGCAGCACACGTACTCCCTACGGCCGGCTCGCAACCCCCCGGCGGATGGCACGCGGACCCCCTTCGCGCCCGCTCGCCGAACCCCCGCGGCTTGCTCGCATCCCACCCGGCGGCCGGCACGCGTACCCCACGCGCGCCGCTCGCCGACCCCCCGCAGGCCGGCACGCGCACCCGCCGCGCGCCCGCTCGCCGAACCCCTACGGGCCGGCTCGCATCCCACCCGGCAGCCGGCACGCAAACCCCCCGCGCGCTCGCTCGCCGACCCCCCCACAGGCCGGCACGCGTAACCCCCGCGCGCCCCCTCGTCGACCCCCGGCGGGCCGGCTCGCATTCCACCTCCGCGACGCCCGCCGACCCCCACGGGGCCGGCAAGTAGACCACCCGCGGGCCGGCTCGCAGCCCCCCGCGCACGACGGGCGTGCTAGCTCGCGCACCTTCGCAGCCGGCACGCGTGCCCTCGCGGCCCGCTCGCGTGACACCCGCGCGAACGCTAGCGCAGCCCATGCGGGCCGACACGCTGCACCCACCGGCGGCCGGCTCGCGTCCCCCCGCGGGGCCGGCACGTGTCCCCCCTACGGCCGGCACGCAAACCCCCCGCGTGCCCGCTCGCGTACCCCCCGCGCGGCTAGCTCGCATGCCACCTCGCGTGCCCGCCGCGTACCCCCGCGGGGCCGGCACGCGCACCACCGGCGGCGGCACGCATGCATCCCGGCGGGGCCGGGTCGCATGCCACCCGCGCGCCCGCTCACGCACCCCACGCGGCCGGCACGCGACCCCCGCGCGGCCGGCTCGCAACCCCCCGCAGTGCTCGCACGCGCACCCCCGCGCGCCCGCTCGCCGAACCCCCGGCGGCCGGCTCGCATCCCACCCGCGCGGCCGGCACGTAGACCTCCCGCACGCCCGCTCGCCGACCACCCCGCGGCCGGCTCGCTCGCCACCGCGCGCCGCTCGCGGACCCCACGCGGCGTGCACGCGTACTCCCCGCGCGCCCGCTCACCGACACCCCGCGCGGCCGGCTCGTATGCCACCTACGCGCCCGCTCGTAGACCCCATGCGGCGTGCACGCGTACTCCCCGCGTGCCCGCTCACCGACACCCCGCGGGCCGGCTCGTATGCCACCTACGCGCCCGCCGCGGCACCCCACGCGGGCAGGCACGCGCACCCCCGCGGCCGGTCGCAACCCCTCCGCGCGGCCGGCACGCAGACCCCCTCGCGCTCGCTCGTCGAACCCCCGCGGGCCGGCACGCGTACCCCTTCGCGCCCACTCGTCGAACCCCCGGCGGCTTGCTCGCATCCCACCCGCGCGGCCGGCTCGCAGTGCCCGCGCACGATGGGCGTGCCGGCTCGCGCACCTTCCGCAGCCGGCACGCGTGCCCCCTACGGCCCGCTCGCGTGCCACCCGCGCGCCCCGCCGCAGACCCCACGCGGGCCGGCACGCGCACCCCCGGCGCACCCGCTCGCGGACCCTGTGCTAGCTCGCACGCGTGCCCCCCGCGGCCGGCTCGCATGCCACCCGCGCGCCCGCCGCGTACCCCATGCGGGCCGGCTCGCGTCCCACTCGGCGGCGGCACGCATGCATCCCGCAGGCCGGGTCGCATGCCACCCGCGTGCCCGCTCACGTACCCCACGTGGGCCGGCACGCGCACCCCCGCGCGGCCGGCTCGCAACCCCACGCGGGCCGGCACGCGCACCCCGCGCGCCCGCTCGCCGAACCCCCGCCGGGCCGGCACGTGCAGCCCCTACGCGCCCGCCGCCGAACCCCCACGGGCCGGCTCACATCCCACTCGGCGGGCCGGCACGCGTACCCTCCCGCACGCCCCCTCGCCGACCACCCGGCGGGCCGGTACGCAAACCCCGTACGCCCCCGTTCGCCGACACCCCGCGGCCGCCTCGCTGCCACCCGCGCGCCAGCCCGCGGACCCCACGCGAGCAAGCACGCAGACTCCCGCGCGGCCGGCTCGCAACCCCCCGCGCGCCCGCTCGCCGACACCCCGGCGGCCGGCTCGCACGCCACCTACGCGCCCGCCGCGGACCCCACGCGAGCGGAGCACGCGGACTCCCGCGCGGCCGGCTCGCAACCCCTCCGCGGCTAGGCACGCGCACCCCCTTTGCGCTCGCTCGTCGAACCCCCGCGGGCCGGCACGCGCACCCCCTTCGCGCCCGCTCGCCGAACCCCTCCGGCTTGCTCGCATCCCACCCGCGCGGCCGGCACGCGCACCCCCGCGCGCTCGCTCGTCGACCCCCTACGGCCTAGCTCGCAACCCCCCGCAGGCCGGCACGCGGACCCCCGCACGCCCGCCGCCGACCCCCCGCGGGCCGGCACGCGAACCCCCGCGCGCCCCCTCGCCGACCCCCTACGGCCGGCTCGCATGCCACTCGCGCGCACGCTCGCGACCCCCACCGGGCCGGCAAGCGTGCCCCCCGAGGCCTAGCACGCGTACCCCCCGCGGCCCGACTCGCAGCCCCCCGCGCACGATGGGGCGTGCCGGCTCGCGGACCTTCGCAGCCGGCACGCGTGCCACCCGCGGCCCGCCGCGAACCCATGCGGCTGGCACGCGACCCACCGCGGGCCGGCTCGCGTCCCCCCGCGGGCCGGCACGCGTCCCCCGCCGGCCGGCACGCGTCCCCCGCCGGGCCGGCACGCGACCCACCGCGGCCGGCTCGCGTCCCCCGGCGGCCGGCACGCGTCCCCCGCCGGGCCGGCTCGCGACCCCCGCGGCCGGCACGCGGACCCATGGCGCGCCCGCTCGGAGACCTTGTGTTGGCTCGCACGCGTGCCCCAATTCGATGAGAAACGAGCCGCCGATAAAAACTCATGACCTTTCGCCATGACCTAGGGGTGATTTTTACCAAAAAACGACGTTTACGTCGAGAAAATACACTTTTCTTGTTTTTCGAGTCAATGTGGGCATGCGAGCTTTCGAGTTCCTAGAAGGGCCCATGTGAACGAGTGTGGAAAAATTTACAGAGAAACTATAATTCCCGGCTTGTGGTTTTTGAGACCAACATCATAGACAAAGTGACAACCATGTAGACTCATTGGCCTCGACCGTGAGCTAAGGTTAATTTTCTCCCAAAAATGATCGACCAAGTTTTGAGCGCTTTTAGACCCAATTCAATGGTAAACAAGCCAACGATAAAAACATATTGCCTTTGGCCATGACTCGGGGGTGATTTTTTCAAAAAAAAACAATGTTTAGGTCGAGAAAATACAATTTTCTACTTTTTCAAGACAATGCGAGCATGCGAGCTTTCGAGTTCCCGGAAGGGCCGATGTGAACGAGCGTGAAAAAATCTATAGAGAAACCGTAATTCCCGGCTTGAGGTTTTTGGGCCCTACATCATAGACAAAGTGACAACCATAGAGACTCATCGACCTCGACTATGAGCCGAGGTTGATTTTCGCTCAAAAATGGCCGACCAAGTTTTTAATGCGCTTTAGGCCCGACTCGATGGAAAACAAGCCAACGGTAAAAACTCATTACCTTTGGCCATGACTTAGGCGTGATTTTTGAAAAAAAACGACGTTTGAGCCAAAAAATACACTTTTCTAGTTTTTCGAGTCAATGTGGGCATGCGAGCTTTCGAGTTCCTAGAAGGGCTGGTTCGAACGAGTGTGAAACAATCGATAGAGAAACTATAATTCCTAGCTTGAGGTTTTTGAGACCTACATCATAGACAAAGTGACAATCACGGAGACTCATCGGCCTCGACTATGAGCCGAGGTTGATTTTCACTCAAAAATTGCCGACCAAGTTTTGAGCAGCTTTAGACCCAGCTCGATGGCAAATGAGAAAACGATAAAAATTCATTACCTTTGGCCAAGACCTACAGGTGATTTTGGCAAAACAACGATGTTTAAGCCAAGAAAATACACTTTTCTAGTTTTTCGAGTCAATACGGGCATGCGAGCTTTCGAGTTCTTGGAATGGCCCATGTGAACGAGCGTGAAAAAATCTATAGAGAAACTATAATTTCTAATTTGAGGTTTTTGGGACCTACATCATAGATAAAGTGACAACCAAAGAGACTCACCGGCCTCGATCGCGAGGTGAGGTTGATTTTCGCCCAAAAATTACCGACCAAGTTTTGAGCAAGCTTTAAACCCAATTCTATGAAAAACGAGCAAACGATAAAAACTTATCACCTTTCGCCATGACCCGGGGGTTATTTTTGCAAAAAACCAATGTTTAGGTCGAGAAAATACACTTTTCTAGTTTTTCGAGACAATGCGGCACGCGAGCTTTCGAGTTCCTAGAAGGGCCGGCATGAACGAGCATGAAACAATCCATAGAGAAACCGTAATTCTTGGTTTGAGGTTTTTGGGACCTACATCATAGACAATGTGACAACCATGTAGACTCATCGGCCTCGATTGTGAGCCGAGGTTGATTTTCGCCAAAAAATGGTCGACCAAGTTTTGAGTAGTTTTAGACTCAATTCCATGGGAAACAAGCTAGCGATAAAAAATCATCACCTTTCGCCATGACTCGGGGGTATTTTTACCAAAAAATAGCGTTTAGGCTAAAAGAATACACTTTTCTAGTTTTTCGAGTCAATGTGGGCATGCGAGCTTTCGAGTTCCCGGAAGGGCCCATGTGAACGAGTGTGGAACAATTTATAGAGAAACTATAATTCCCGGCTTGAGGTTTTTGGGACCAATATCATAGACAAAGTGACAACCATAGAGACTCATCGGCCTCGACCGTGAGCCGAGAATGATTTTTGCCCAAAAATGACCGACCAAGTTTTCGAGCAGCTTTTAGACCTAATTCGATGGCAAACAAGCCAACGATAAAAACATATTGCCTTTGGCTCGACTCGGGGGTGATTTTTGTAAAAAAAACAACGTTTAGGTCGAGAAAATACACTTTTCTAGTTTTTCGAGACAATGCGAGCTTTTGAGTTCCCGGAAGGGCCGATGTGAATAAGCATGAAAAAATCTATAGAGAAACTATAATTCCCGGCTTGAGGTTTTTGGGACCTACATCATAGACAAAGTGACAACCACGAGAGACTCATCGGCCTCGACGGTGAGCCGAGGTTGATTTTCCCCCAAAAATGGCCGACCAAGTTTTGAGTAGTTTTAGACCCAATTCGATGGGAAACGAGCCGGCGATAAAAAATCATCACCTTTCGCCATGACTCGGGGGTGATTTTTACCAAAAAACGACGTTTACATCGAGAAAATACACTTTTCTTTTTTTTTTTAGTCAATGTGGGCAAATGAGCTTTCGAGTTCCTAGAAGGGCCCACGTGAACGAGTGTGACAAAATTCATAGAGAAACTATAATTCCCGGTTTGTGGTTTTTGAGACCAACATCATAGACAAAGTGACAACCACAGAGACTCATTGGCCTCGACCGTGAACGGAGGTTGATTTTCTCCCAAAAATGACCGACCAAGTTTTGAGCGCTTTTAGACCCAATTCAATGGCAAACGAGCTAACGATAAAAACATATTGCCTTTGGCCATTACTCCGGGGTGATTTTTTCAAAAAAAATAATGTTTAGGTCGAGAAAATACAGCTTTTCTACTTTTTCGAGACAATGCGAGCATGCGAGCTTTCGAGTTCCCGGAAGGGCCAATGTGAACGAGCATGAAAAAATCTATAGAGAAACCGTAATTCCCGGCTA